AGGCTCCAAGTGGCCAACAAAGAAAGGACCAAAAGACACCTCAGCAAAAAGGATGTGGACTAGAAGCCCAAGCCTGAGGCTTAGCTCCCTGCTTGTCCACTGTGCAAAACAGCAAGAAGCTGAAGCAGCTTTGGCACAGTGTCAGATGACTGGTGTCAACTTGTGCATATGATTGGCTGGAGCAGGGCAGGTCCAGGTCTTATGCACTCATCGTGAGCTGCATGTGAACATTGTATATTTGTCCCTTTTGTGCCTTTCAAAGGTGAGCTAATGCCTGCTCCCAGTCTGCAGACAGGGATGGTTTGATGTTGAAGGGTCTAGAGCGCAAGTCTTGTGAGGAGCAACTGAGGGAACTGTATTTGTTTAGCCTGGAGAAAAGAAGGCTCAGGAGACACCTTCTCACTTTCTACAACTATCAGAAAGGAGCTTGTGGTGAGGTGGGGGTCAGTCTCCTCTCCCAAGGAACAAGCGATAGAACAAGAAGAAAAGGCCTCAAGTTGTGCCAGGGGAGGTTGGACATTAGGAACAATTTCTTCCCTGAAAGCTTTGTCGAGGCCTGGCCCGGCCTGCCCAGGGCAATTGTGGAGTCCCCCGCCCCTGGAGGGACTTAAAGGCCGTGGAGGTGTGGTGCTGAGGGACGTGGTTTTGTGATGACCTGCCAGTGCTGGGCTAATGGTTGGACTTCATACCTTAAAGGTGTCTTCCAACCAAAATGATTCTATGATCCTACAATTAAAATGCTTTGTAGTTCAAAAGCTTGTTGGCAGATTAGTTCTGTACTGCTGCAAAACGGCTATAGCAGCATTTGTTATTCTTGACAGAGTTATGTTTAGATGGCAGGTTACAGGTCTGCAACTCTGGTGGCAAAAAAAATAGTCAAGAAGAAAGAATTACTACATCTCTCTGCATGCTTAGGGTAACAGAGACAGGGTCTTTTAGCCCCTGTTTCATTCCCTTGGGAGGAAGAGGTAGAAACTAGAGAAGTCTTCTGTATTAATTATGACTAGAAAACCTTGATTTTTAATAGTTGTCCCTCATCACGGACAGCTGGGCCAGCATGTGAAATTCATGGCATGTGAGGGAGTGCTCTCAGCAACTGCACCATCTGTACAGCCCCAGGGTATATCAGACCATCTGTCAGGCCTGCAAGGATACAGATTCCTGCCAGCTGAAGGGCTCCTCTCCCAATGGGAGAGGTGAAATTCAGCTGAAGTTTGGGGAAGGACTTGAGGTGTCAGCAGGTGGCTGGGCACAAGGCAGAAAAAGGCATAAAGATCTTCCAGCTGTGGTGATGGACATGGCTGGTGCCATTCCCCCAGTGCACAGATGTCTAATCCCTGCCTGGAAACCTGCATTAATACTCCCGAGAGGAAGGCTGAGGCATTTGCTAACACACTGATACACCACTGCTGCAGGCTCCTAAAGGAGGCCATCCACCTGTGGGACAACCTGTTGGTACTCCAGAGATAGCCTGAGCCTCAGTGTTGAATGCTGGATGCCTACAGGTGACCTGCAGATACACCTCTGAATCCAGCATGATCCAAGGAGAAGATATAGCCAATAAACATCTCTCCATCCCCTCTACTGTCCTTCTCTACCTCAACACCCCCACAGCTCCAAACTTCCAATCTTTCCCGTAAAGAATGCATTGCCCAGTTCTTCAAGGCAGGGTGTCTCATGTCCAGAGGACATTTCACCTGATGTCCTTCTCACAGAAGAAAGCTTTGGAAGACCCTGCATGACTGATGTGACATTGGCACTTGATTTCTTTCTAGTTTTCCCTGTAGTTTTGGTAAGTCTGCACTGAGCAAAAGAGCTGGTGCACCCTCACTGCCCGTGACCAAACCTGTGTTCTGTGCTACACAGCACCTAGTTTCTTGGATGTGTTCTAACACCTTCAAGTGGGAGTGTGCCAGGCTATTCATGCACCCCAGACACCTCAAAGACAACTTAAGGGCATGGCTCTGCATGAGGCTTCACTGAACTTCCTAGTCATACACTTGAGTTTCTCAGTATCCAAATCCCTTTTGAAATGGGAAATGGGAGTCTCTGGTCACTTAAGTAGCTTTGAAAATTTCATCTTCTTTTCTCATTCTTGGATGTTCATCTGGGAGCACAGGAAAAGGAGACATACCAGTAATGTCATTCCGATACCAGGGATCCCAGCCAGCTCCCAGGGAAAGCCCATCCCAAGGGATTACCATCACACATGAGGCCTATTGACCTCCCCCATGATGAAGCAGAGGAAGCTAATGCTGGGAAGTGACAATGTGCTGTTGGCAGTCAAAGAGCACAAACCTGAAGCAGGTGGGTGATGCAAATTCACAAGGACAGCTCTGGGAAGCATGACTTTAGAGAAACCTTTAAGAGATTGCACTGAGGTTAGAACAAGGCAACCAAAACAGAAGGTGCCTTTTCAATCCTTTCTAAAGTTTATTCATTAGCACTGATGAGCTTATTCACAGTCTTCAAGGGCATCAGCTGGAGTATCAAAGTTTAGCTTGCAGTGTGCTGCCCATTTATCTGGGATCTGAGATTTCATGTATGTTGTGAGCACACCAAAGGGCCTCAAGGGTGCTGCTGAATGAAGTAAATGTCCTACCCACCTCAAAATGGGGTCCTTTGTCTGAAAGAGCTAAAACTGTCTCAGGTGCACATCTGCAAGAGGTCAGCCAAGGCTGGAACTTCAATGTGACTGAAGCTGCATACCATTAAGGAAAGACTGAAAATTAAGCGAAAACTGGTGGAAGGAAATGAAAACCCTGAGAAAAAAAAATTGGTGAAAAGTGAAAAAGCAAAACAGAAAAGTGTCAAAGAAGCTTTGATGCCATGACAGCTACCATATAGACCATCTTCAGATCTCTGCTGTCAGCCTAGCGTGGGTGGGGAGAAGAGTTTTCTAGACAGAAGGCAGTAGATCTTCTCTGTGTCTAGGACAGCTCTGGTTTTTCATCTTTAGCTACTGGTGAATCAACACTGGGAAAAGTGACAGAAAAGAAGCCCTCACAAACATGAGCACCTTCTGTCATGTCCCAAGCTAGCATACAAACTGTCAAGCCACATGTGCCACTTTGGTGTCCCTGGGTGCCAATTCCTCATTGGAACAGTGACCAGGAGACCTTTGATAGTGTGCAGTGCTCATGATTCCTCTTGGGATTTTTGGTGTCTCCTACTTCAAGGCTGGTGAAGATGATTTGTTATTTATTACTGTGGCTCCAGATGTGACCTCAAGGGGAGAAATTTGCAGCATGCATGGCACTGAAGTCTCCCAGTCTGGACAGGAAAAGCAATGGAAAGGATCTTTTCCTGCATGCAGAATCTGCTGCCTGTGGTAAGGGCTTCTGGGCCACTCTCTTTCAGTGGCCAAGCATGGGGCCTGGGCGCTATATCTCAAAGTTAAGGCTCACTAAGCTCAAGAGCTATGAGATGGTCTTTGATCGCGGCACCTTCTTTCTGCACATTTGACCCTAATCAAGATGTTTTGGCTGGCTATCCCA